TGGCATGTGGAACTGGGGCTCCATGTGGGATTAGGGGTGAGCAGCTGCTGGCAGTGACTCTCAGTCCTTTGCTGTGTGTCCTGGGGCAGGGACAGGGCTTTGGGAGCAGGGACGGGGCTTTAGGAGCAGGGACGGGGCTTTAGGAGCAGGGACAGGGATTTAGGAGCAGGAACAGGGATTTAGGAGCAGGGACAGGGCTTGAGGAGCAGGGACAGGGCTTGAGGAGCAGGAACAGGGCTTGAGGAGCAGGGACAGGGCTTGAGGAGCACGGACAGGGCTTGAGGAGCAGGACAGGGCTTTAGGAGCAGGACAGGGCTTTGGGAGCAGGGACAGGGTTTGAGGAGCAGGGACAGGGCTTTAGGAACAGGGACAGGGCTTTAGGAGCAGGGACAGGGCTTGAGGAGCAGGGACAGGGATTTAGGAGCAGGAATGGGGCTTTAGGAGCAGGGACGGGGCTTTAGGAGCAGGAACAGGGCTTGAGGAGCAGGAACTGGGCTTTAGGAGCAGGGACAGGGCTTGAGGAGCACGGACAGGGCTTTAGAAGCAGGGACAGGGCTTTAGGAGCACAGACAGGGCTTTAGGAGCAGGGACAGGGCTTTAGGAACAGGACAGGGATTTAGGAGCAGGACAGGGCTTGAGGAGCAGGAACAGGGCTTTAGGAGTGGGAACAGGGCTTGAGGAGCAGGAGCAGGGCTTGAGGAGCAGGAACAGGGATTTAGGTGCAGGAACAGGGATTTAGGAACAAGGACAGGGCTTTAGGAGCAGGAACAGGGCTTTAGGAGCAGGAACAGGGATTTAGGAACAGGGACAGGGCTTTGGGAGCAGGAACAGGGCTTTGGGAGCAGGGACAGGGATTTAGGAGCAGGGACAGGGATTTAGGAGCAGGAACAGGGATTTAGGAGCAGGAACAGGGCTTTAGGAGCAGGAACAGGGCTTTAGGAACAGGAACAGGGCTTTAGGAGCAGGGACAGGGCTTGAGGAGCAGGGATGGGGCTTTAGGAGCAGGGATGGGGCTTTAGGAGCAGGAACAGGGCTTTAGGAGCGGGGCCTGTCCCTGTGCCCTCCCTCAGCCCAGTCTGCAGTGATGCTGGAGGGCTCAGTGCCAGGAGAGCCCAGTGCTGCTGGCAGGGACTCAGGGAGGCTTAAGGACACCAACCTGTGACTGGAGAACCCATCTGAGCTAAGCCCTTTGTGTCCTCAGCTCTGCTCCCCTCACAGGAGGATCTTCTGTGCAGGATCTTCCTTTTGTACTTTGTTCACTCGGGAACTCACCCTCGTGCTGGGAGGGCGTTCCAGCGCCAGGAATGGTTCTGCTGGGAGCTTTTCCAGGTTGTGAGTGAGGGGTGAGCTCCTCACCAAGGGCTCTGGAGCAGGGAGGATGCTGAGCTTCCTCAGAGGAATCCTGGAGAGCTGCAAGGTGCAGCCAGGCTGTGGGAAATGGCTCCACCCAGGCACGGACAGCTGGAAAATGAAGCAGGATAAGAGGATTGAGGGATCTGTAGATAAAAAGTAATTCTGGTGGCAGGTGAGAGGTGACAGCACACCTCTTGGCACTGTTCCTCTGGTTTAATCCTTGCCTGTGTCCTTTGGTGAAGTGAAGGAGCTCATTATACCATCATTTGCATGTGAATGAGTTTCCTAAGTTTACCCACCCACCCCTGAAGGAAGGGATTTGATGAAGTAACTCAGTTTGAGCATCAGGAGGGTCAGAGGAGCAAGCACAGCTGGAGGAGGCTGAAAATCATTTGTAAATTAAAGATGTCCTGTGTAGTCCTCAAGGTTTGCTTGCTGGAATTTGGAAACTCTGAAACTTTTCCCAGAGCAGTGCTGAACTTTTGGGATCAAGGTGTGCCTGTTGTGGTGTTTGTGTCTGATGCTGATCTCAATTTTCTTTTGTCCTCAGCTGCTTTTCCTCACCGGCTGAACCTTTTTTACTTGGCCAATGATGTCATACAGAACTGCAAGAGGAAAAATGCCATTGTTTTTAGGGACACCTTTGCAGAGGTGCTTCCTGAGGCTGCTTCATTAGTGAAGTGAGTAATGAATGAACTAACAGGCTGTTGGGAGGCTGAGTGTGTCAGAAAGGGGGAATTTTTCTTCTGAAAATTCTAGAAACATCAGCAGAACTTCAAGGATTCTGTTGGAACAGCCATATGTGGGCATAAGCTGGGTTTTAATTTGCACAGGGGGGTGAAATTATCCTGTGGGGTGAGGGAAACCTCACACCTATGTCCTGTAGCCATGGGGTAAGAAACTCTTCTCTTGCAGGGACCCATCAGTTTCCAAATCCATCGAAAGAATCTTCAAAATCTGGGAGGACAGAAACGTGTACCCTGAGGAAACCATTCTGGCCCTGAAAGAAGCACTGAGTAAGTTACTCACCCTTTGCATTTCTCACCTTGCAAACTGCCACGTGAGCTCACTGAAGCTGTAGAAATAGTTTGGGGTCACTGAGGGGGAGTGAGGGGCGTTTGCACCTGGCACAGGCTGTGACACAACCAAGTGTGGGACGTGAGCAGCGCTGGATTCTCCTGCTTTACTCTTTTGTACCTTCCTTAAGGCAGCTGGGAATTCTTTCACATGAGCTGAGAGCAAACAGAACGTGAGGCTGAAATGATGCTGCACATCCTGACCAGGGTGCTCTGGCTCTACCTCCTTGTGCTGTTCATTCATAGCCTGGTGGTTGTGGGGTAGGAGAGGCAGGAACAAAGCTGGAGGGTGAAGAATCCTCATTCCTTAGAGGAGGAACACGTGGAATTGGTTAAAACCAGGAATTAGCAGTGGAAATCTGTCCAGGGTTTGGCTTTACCCCATCATGAAGAGCTGCAGGTGCTCAGGGGGCCCTCAGGTGTGGTGTGAGGGTCAGTGGCCATCCCAGCAGGAGCAGTGTGGTGTCTGGGGTCGGGCTGTGGCACGAGGACAGGCTGGAGCTGGGTGTTGCATGCTGAGAAGTGACCTTTGTGCTTTTTGCTCTGAAATGGCTCATTTCTGGGACTTGAAAACAGCTCTGTGAGGTTCCAGGTAAATCAGGTATTGTGGCTGCTTTCCCAATGAGCAGCACTTGTCTGTTTGATGCTGATTCCATTACAGCCTTCCTAAAGAGTTTCATTTTTAGATTTCTGTGTGTTTTCCCTTTTTACTGTGATTTTTTTTTTGAACTGCCTTAGTGTAAGGGCAAACAGAAACTTGATTTAAAAATGGCAGACCACCCCCAGGTTGCTGCATTCCTGAGTAAACTGAGGTTCTCTTGGGCATCCAGCAGCTCCTCTAAGGAAGTTGGTCGAGGTATTTTAAAACAAATTTCTGTTCACTCTTTCACCGTGCAACTGTATGGCACCAAAACCCAAGATTTTGACAGGAATCCCATAATGCCAGACTGCCAAAAATGAAATGTTTTTCCAGGTACCACTTTCAAAACTCAGAAGCAGCTGAAAGAGTCTCTGAACAAACCGAATAAGCCGTGGAAGAAATCACAAAGTAAGGAACCACTGTGAACTCTGTGCACTAATGCAGAAATTGGCTGCTCAAGGAGCAGAAGGGCTGAGCCCAGTGTGGGCTGAGCCAGCTGAGCCTGCAGGCTCACAAGGGCCCCAAGATGTGCACACCAAGGAGGTGTTGGTAGAAAAAAGGCTTTGGAAAGAAAAGAAATGAGGCAAAAATAAGATTTAAAGTGCAGAGGTTTTGGACAGGAGAGGAAGAAGCTGGTGGAACCTCTTGGAAACTGCTCTTAGACTGGTCAGAGATGGAGAGAAAACAGAGAGGAGGAGGAGGAGGAGGAGATGGACATTCCCTTCATGCTCAGGAACTGCCCCAGCAGGCTGGGCTGGGAGGAGGAAGCTGGAGCAGTGCAGGGACAGGATGTGACAGTGCAGAGCCCAGAGCAGCAGGAGAGAATTTATTGTAAACAGAGGGATT